ATCTCCGAAAGGCCAGTGTAAAGGGTAAACCACTTGTGGTAAAAGTCTAGGCTACCATGTTGAAAGTTCTATCAAGTTCATGACTCTATTATCAAGATCTCCAAAGTTCTACAGAAGTTACATAAAAAAATATCAAGTTCATAACTCTACTATCAAGATCTCCAAAGTTCTACCAAAGTTACATAAACAGACAACGGAAGAAGCAATACTGATGTCCAAGTGGGTACAAATACTGTAAGTGAGGGAAGAATACCACAATAAGACATCACAAAAGCATACTAAGTGAAGGTGCATGTAAGAGAAGAATACAACAATAAGCCATCATAAAAGCATGTTAAGGTGCATGGATCACACATTCAGGAACTTACTCCCAAGGAAGATCACCAACAAGCATCCAGTCAGCATCCTTATCTTCATAGGTGAGTACATACTCTTGGTCCTGAAGAGCATCAGCCCTAGAACCATCAGTGAGCCTGTCTCTCGTCGATGTTTTGCAGGAACTGCTTTTGCCTGTAATGCCGCAATTTTAAATATAAATATGCTACCTTGAAACATACATCTAATTTAGAGAAATAGAAAACACATGTAGTTGCCCTACAGTTCACAGTAAAGAACAAACTGTTCCAGAAGTAAGGCTAGAAATGATACTTATAGAGGAAGAATGAAAAATCAACATAATGGAAAATACTGTAAACATTGCAAATCCACAGAGTTAACTGAACGCAGGTTACCAAAAGTTGCTTCCTTTGCTCCTATACGTAAAGAATGTTGCTAATGGCATATACTACTGCTTTGCCTTTGTGTTAGTTCCTGCCATTTAGGGAAGACCAGACTATAGCACTCAATTTGCAATCTACTCCCTCCGTCCGAAATTACTTGTCGAAAAAATGGATGTATCTAGAACTGACATATGTCTAGATACATCCATTTCTCCGACAGGTATTTCCGGACGGAGGGAGTACTTCTCTAATTTTTTCTCCCTTCTGAAAAGAATGTTAAGTTAACCTAGTTACTGGTCATTGACTGGGCTTGGAAACCATAGTTCGTCTAGTGGGATTCACAAGTAGTCATGCATCCTTTATCTTCTCATCAAGAGCTTCAGTAACCAGAAAATCCATCTGGAAATCTCATTCCTAGCCTCCTATTTACTCAGGCTAGATATTTTTTTTCGAGGGTACGCAAATTGCGTACCTTAGCTTTATAGAAGGAGAGAAATAAGACATACAACAACGTCTACCGCTCGCTGCGAACAACGAAGGTGACCCACTCCACACCGTTCGTACAAGGACAACCAACACAACCACACAGCTACGACACAAAAAGCCTACCCAACCACTCAGGCTAGATATTAACCTACTTAATAGTAGTAACTTGCATCTAGCAGAAACAAGAAAGGAGATGGATTAAATGGAAAGAGCAACACCCACCAGTGATGAAGCAGCTGAACATCTTCTCCAGCTCCAGGGAAAGGTTGTCATAGCTGGAGTAAGTCTTAAGATCGACCTTCCTTAGGTACGGTGCTCCATCCATGCTGACCTTGACATAGCAGCACCCTGCCTCGCTTCTGCCTTCATTCTCGGCCTTGGTCTTTGTGGCATTGGCGGCTAGCGTGTTCTTCCGGTAGCTCCGAACAGGCGGCCACCCAACAACTTGTGCCCTACAGAGTGCATAACAAACACTTGGTATCAGACCAGATCAAACCAAACATCAAGTGAAACACATGGTTTTAAACATGCAATCAACATTCAGATTATTAGCCACTCCACCCTTCCCCTTATCAAATATACAAATACAACTCAGTTAATTTAAGATAAGCAACACCCGGGTGGTTACAGGCTTACAGAGGCCGGTTAAGCGACAGTTTTAGCAGGGGACGTGCTATTCTGCCTTTAACTCACAGGTCACTCGGCTCCACGGCTCACTTGGGTGATAATTTCTCCTCAGGCGCATGTCTCAGCAACACAAAACAAGGGTGGGACTTCTTAGGAGTAGCTTGTTAAAACTGGTCCCTTGAGCACGAAAATAAGAGAACCATCACTATTACTTGTGCCATACATACATAGTGCATAACACTGACTGACAGACCAGATCGGATCAAATTAAGATAAGCAACAAACCCAGCTGGGTATACCCTAACAGAAACCGGTTAAGTGCCAGTTTTAGCAGGGAACGTCCTCTCGTGTGTTTGATCCACAAGCAGTAGTAGTTGCTTAAATCTAGTAATAGCACATTTCAGCAAGAAAATCAAGCGCGGCATCACTATTACTGGACACTGCTGCTTATGAAGCAATCCAAAAGTAAACCAAGAGCCTAAATCTAGCAGATGCACATGTCCAAGGAGCTAGCTAAAACCGCAGCACCAAAGCAGCCAAGCTCAAGCTGGAGCTCGAAATAAAATAAGAAGCTTACTTGGCAGCTGGCGGAGCCCCGGCTCCGGCGGCGGCGGCGGCCTCACCCTTCTTCTTGTCTTCCTCCCCGGCAGCCCTGGCAGCGGAGCCGTCGAGCGAGTCGGCGAACCCGCGCTTGGCGCCGCCCCTGTGCGAAGCATGAGCGGTAGCTGGAGACGGCCCGAGCGTGAGCGCGGCGTCGACGGCGGCGTCCTCCGGCCCGTCCCGTCCCGGCGAGCCGCAGCCCGGCAGGCCGAGGCGGAGCGCGAGGTGCGGGCCGGCGTCGCCCGAGGCGGAGGAGGAGCAGGAGGAGGAGGCGGGCGCGGGCGCCGCAGAGGGGCCGAGGCCGATGTAGTCGCGCGCTTCGAGATTGGGCGGCGGCATTGGAAGGAAGCGAAGGCCGAGGAGGAGGGAGAGGGGGGAGGAGGAAAGGAGCTCTTTTTGTTTGCTGGCCTCGGAGAGAGAAGGGAAGGTGGGGCGTGATAAAGAAGCGGGGGGAGTGGTGGTGGTGGTGGCCGACCGGGACCGGGCGGGCGGCTCTTTATTCTGCTCCCCCTTCGTCGGGCGGGGTCGGGTCGGGTCGGGGGTTAGCTACTCGCTCGCTCGCGGTGGGGACAGCAGCGGCCGGGGACGGGGACAAGGGTAGGAAAACGTGTGCGTCCGCGGCGACCGTGTGGGAGCTGGTCATTCATTTCCATGGTCAAAAGGTGAAGGTGCAACGGGGACTGACCGACCGGTGACTCGGTTAAGGAGGCAGCAGATATCTGCGCTTGCTGGTTAAGGAGGCTGAGCGTGGGCGAGGGCACGAGGGTCATGCATGCGAAGTCACGTTGCCGTTGCTTCTAGAAGCACACTGGCAGGCTCAGTGTAGTGTAGTTAGACGTCGGAGGTGAAGAATGAGGAGTTCAAACTGACAGCCTCGCCCCTTGTTGACCGAAAGCACACTCGTAGTATACGGATGTCATTAGTAAAGCCGGTTTTCCTTTGCAGCGACAGGATCTCGAGGAGGATCACTCTTTTGAGTTTTATATGTAATCATCCCGGATTTCAGCCACCTGCCGCTGCTGCACCACTCTTCGTACGCACGCTTGCACTATCACTTCCCCCCGGGCGCAGTGAGTGGGCCCTGCAAAGCCTGGTCCCACTTGCACGTGCTAACGGACGCATTTTTCTTACCTTCTCGCTTGCTCGATGCTGCTCTCGGGCCATAATTATTCCCTGCGACTGTACTACTAGTACGTACTGTGTGCTCGACTCGATCCATGGCTGCCGGCCTTTGTTCCCGGTGGTGGGTGTACGCCGCACTTGTCTCGTGTCGTGGGAAACGGAGCGGAGCGGACGCAAGGAGAAAAGTAATGGCGGGTGGTGGCGGCCACGTACGGCGCGCTGGCGCCGGCCGGCCGGGGGGCAGGGGCACGGCACGGCACGGCAAAGGACGGACCGACCGACCGGCAGACACCCGGCCCGCGAGTCCACCCGACAGCGCCGCGCACCCGTCGCTCTCCTCCACCTTCCCAGACCCACCACCTTCCCGTGCCCAGCTGCCCTGCCCCCATCGCCGTGCCGTGCTCAGCGGTTCCACCACTCCCACGCCGAGTCGCTGACGACGGCGACGGCTCATGCCGCGTCGTCGCGGTCAGCGCTCATCACCGGCAATAACGCCGCCCGCGTCGCCCGCAATAGTGGACTAGCGGTGATGGACGCCCGTTTCCGAGCGCGATCCCGCTCTAGCGCCATGCCATCGCCATGCCGCCCCGCTCCCTGCGCGCGTGCGTGCGTGCCGGAGCGGCGCTGCGCACCCCATGGGCGCCCCGCGCGCTCATGCATGCACGCGTGCTGCTGGTGTGACACTGTTGAGCCGGGTCGCGTGGCGGTTCGTCATGAAGTTTCCGCGGGTGCGCCGGGACCGTGCATGCGCCTTGATTGATTGCTGCGGACTGCGGTGGTGGAATAATGCCGACCGACCGTGTACGTAGTTCGTAGTAGTATATGCTGCGTTTTCCACGGGCATTTCGACGTCTTTTCTTTGCTCCAACAAACAAACTCCACTGTTGCGGGTGCAGCCGGAAATATGCTTCCGCGTACGTAGCCAATTTCCCCTTTTTGGCTGATCAGCGGATTGAATCGCCATTGGTGGCAGCAAGCACTAGACAATTTCCCTTCCGAGTACAAGGCTCGTACATTGCGCTCTCACATTTTCAGATAAAAAAAGCATTGGTGATTCAGAACCAATGATGGTTTCTAGTTCTGTTGTCCTGTTTGGAATAAATTGACTTAAATCCCCACGGATTTTCGTTTGTTCTGTTTGTCCAAAATGACAGCCTCCACAGCTGATTTATTAGATGGTCCTCGACATTTGCTCTCCAAAATTGTTGACTCCATAATTTTCTGTCTTCTACTCCCTCTGTAGACAAATACATACTCTCGTTTATCCTCAATTTCGCATCGATATAATGGATCTTTTCACCGCTGACAATCACACGCTTCAAAGAGAGTTCAACCAAAACAATATTTTCAAGTTTCATGCCTTGGCATTTCTTTAGGACGAACTGAAAAAGCGGTAGATTTCTCTGTTAGGGCCCTTAAACAAGTGGAGTTCGACCGCCTTACGGTTGCTTCTAGGTCGCCTATGTTGGTGTATCCCTATGTGTCAGATGAACAGGATAAGGATGCTGATGCTAATCATGAAGGCAAGCTCTTCTCCCATCTGATCAAAGACACAACTGAGGTTGACTTAGACGATACTGTGCGTGACACTCTGCTATGTGAGCTTGTCGCATCGGTACGAAAGAACAAGTCCAACTCAGCAAATAAAAAGGGACGTCCGACCAAAAAAGCAAAGGTCTCTGAACAAAAAGTTGGTTCATCATGAGAGGAATGTTTTGGAATAGCGGAGGTCTTCGTGACTTGGCTAAACACAAACACATTGCCGATTGTGTAAAGGACCATGCTTTAGATTTCGTGGCCATCGTTGAGTGTGGCAAAAGGGAGTTTCCAACACGTGATCTTGACCACTTTTCATGTGGTTACGATTATGAATGGCACATTCTACCACCGTCTGGGAGGTCCGGGGATATATTGCTAGGCATTCACTCCACTTATTTGGAACTTTGTCCATGTCAAAGGGGGAATATCAAATCAAACTGACAATTTCTTGTGGAGCTTGGTGGTCGTATATGGCGCTGCTCAGGAGGAGTTCAAGTCAGCTTTTCTTAAAGAACTGGTCAATATCTGCCGAGAAAATCCCCATCCCATGTTAATTGGGAGGGGGGGGGGATTTCAATATCATGAGATATCAGCAGGAAAAAAATGATCGTTGATTCTAGATGGCCATTTCTTTTCAATGCGATTATTGATAGCCTTGATTTTGAGGGAACTCACAATGTCTGGTCGTCAGTATACCTGGGCCAATAACCGTGCAAATCCAACCTTTGGAAAACTTGACCAGGTTCTAGTTACAACCGACTGGGAATATAAATATCCCTTAGCCTCGGTACGGGCGCTAGAAATAATTGAGGCCTTATCGGATCACGCTCCATTACTAACCGATTTTGGCCAGGGAGCTCCAAGGGCTAATCAACATCATTTTAAATTTGAACTGGGATGGCTCACTCGAGAGGGTTTTCATGATCTGGTTAAGAGAGTGTGGGCGCGTCCACCTCGTGGCAACACGTTAATCCAACGATGGAATAATCGCATACGCGCTTTGCGTCGATTCCCTCGTGGATGGGCCAAACACACCACTAGCATTTACGTTACTTGCCCGAGATTCGATCGTCGGTATCCCAATACCTCGTTCAATCTCGTTAGCGGCAAGTCACTTTACTCGTTACATAATGCATGATCCCGTGACTAACCACTTAGTCACATTGAGCTCATTATGATGATGCATTACCGAGTGGGCCCAGAGATGTCTCTCCGTCATACGGAGTGACAAATTCCAGTCTCGATTCGTGCCAACCCAACAGACACTTTCGGAGATACCTGTAGTGCACCTTTATAGTCAACCGGTTACGGTGTGACGTTTGGTACACCCAAAGCACTCCTACGGTATCCGGGACTTACACAATCTCATGGTCTAAGAAACTGATACTTGACATTAGAAAAGCTTTAGCAAACGAACTACACGATCTTGTGCTATGCTTAGGATTGGGTCTTGTCCATCACATCATTCTCCTAATGATGTGATCTCGTTATCAATGACATCCAATGTCCATAATTAGGAAACCATGACCATCTGTTGATCAACGAGCTAGTCAACTAGAGGCTCACTAGGGACATGTTGTGGTCTATGTATTCACACATGTATCATTGTTTCTGGTTAATACAACTATAGCATGAATAATAGACAATTATCATGAACAAGAAAATATAATAATAATCATTTTATTATTGCTTCTAGGGCATATTTCCAACAAAATCTCCCCACCCTTCATCGGTCTAGACCAAATTACTCATTATGCTCATTAAGAAGGGCTCATTGGTGATCGGATCCTCCAAAGTGGAAGAAATCATCACTATAAAGAAAATTGCACAACCGGTATCTTGCCCGGTCATAGGCCATAGTCTTCCCCTTCCACTCCGGCCGAAGCACATCGCAGTGGTTCCACTCGATGACCGGCGTTGCCGAACATGGGGAAGCGAGCCGTCCTTTGCGCTGAAGCATATACCTTCGGGGCTCACGGCAGTCCGACAAGCGAGCTGCCGACCTGCCGTGCATAGGGAAGACGAAGAGATCCTCCGTAGCCGGCCGTAGACTAGTGTAGTGTATCCATGTTGTGGAGATGGAGCTCCGTACGACCGGACGTGCACATAGTTTTAGTTATTTTAGTTAAAACATGTACAAAATGTAATGAATTTCGTCCATTCCATATGAAATCCGTTGTGTTCTCATGAATTTCATCTGGTTTGTTGAAAAAATGTATGAAATATATGCAGACAATGTTGGATGGCGGCCTCCCACATCCCTGTCTGTGGACTGGTCCCCTCCTGTCCGCAGACGGATGTGGAGGAATTTTGCTGGTCGCCGTTGGAGATTTCCTTATTATTATATGTTCATCTTCATAATTTTTTTTGTGCTATAATTGCAATATTCTTAAATGTGAGATGAGGGAAAACATCATGTGTCGCACCCCTTCAAGGCATTGTCCGGGGGCGGGGGGGTTGCTCGGTTGATTGGTGTGGTGGTTGTTTGATATGGGTTTGACGGTGGTGGTGGAGGTGGTGCGGCCGCTTTGGGGTTGACAACGGTGTTCTTCAAGGTTCGGTGATGGTGCCTTTGGCGCCGTAGGGCGGCCATTTGTTTCCTCTCATGAAGGTGTCTCGGCCATGTTGTCGTGCGTGCTCAAGAGCATCCAATGGCTTCCATTGTGTTGTGGCAAGCT